GATATATAAAGAGATCCCAAAGAATTTCCTGAGTTTTTATCTCCCTTTTAATTGAGTGTTATCTTATTTTGATTTCCACCTATCACAGCAAGCCTGTTTGCCTTCTCTCTCTTCCTCCTCCTTTCATCCCTGCTGACTTTTTTTCTTCTCAACCTGTGGAGATAATGATTTCAGAGAAGAGAATATTGATATCTTAAAGATATGACTTAAGAGGAGAGAATATAGATATCTTAAAGTTATCAAAACTAAGATGAAGCAAGTAAATTATAGTTATATAAACTGTATTTGTATAATATTTTATAAAGAACAATTGTATTTAATCTTTCCAGCATCCTTGTGACATAGAAGCATTAACCCCTTTTGAGAAATGAGGACATGAAAGATCAGAGAGTTTAAATTACTCATGGAAGGTCATACAGCAGAATAGCCAATACTAGAAAATAGTATCCGGTCTAACCTTTGTTAAATAAGACTTCTTAAATGGTAGCACTCGTTCAAAAATTTTGACTGAGACAGACTAATGGAATAGAATAAAGAGTCTAGAAATAAACCTACACATATATAGTCAGCTGATTCATGACACAGGTAATGTTGAAGTGCAGTGGGGAAAAAGTGGACTTTTAAATCAATTGTATGGCTGTGTGGAAGAAAAATGAATTTGAATTCCTACCTTATGCCATACACAAAAAATTAATTTGAGATGGATAAGGACCTAAATATGAAAGGTAAAATAATAAAGCTTTTAGAAGGAAACAGATTATCTTCATGACCTTATCTATCAAACATTTCTTAAGTAGGCAAAGATTTCTAAAACAGGACAAAATAAAAATCAAATCTTAAAAAGCTGACAAATTGGTCTTCATTAAAATGAACTCATCAGGAGAAGAAAGTGAAAAAGCAGGCCACCAAATTGGAGAAGATATTTGCAACACATCTATAAATAAAGGACTCTATCCAGAATATATTAAAAAGTCCTACAAATCTGTACAAATAAAGTCAGTCAACCCAATAAAAAATCAGCAAAAGGGTTGAACAGGCACTTCACAAAAGAGGTATCCAAATGACCAGTAGTCATATAAAACTTCATTAGTCATCAGGCAAATGCATAATAAAACCACAAGACCACTGCACACCCACAAGAATGACTAAATTTTAAAACTCTGACAATACCAAATGTTGACACAACTGTAGAGCAACTAGTGGGAGTGTAAATTAGTATAAACACTTTGAAACACTATTTCGCAGTATATTCTAAAGCTTGACACAGCAGATGAGATGTAAGAAAGTATATTCACAGCAGTACTCTTCAATATAGCCCCAAACTGGAAACAATCCAAGTGTCCATCAGGAGTAGGATAGATAAGTAAATTGTAATATATTCACTGTATTCAGCAGTGCTTTCTTAACCTAACTGTGGTGAAGGACCAGATTTTTTTGCCCTATCAGAATAAAACTCTTGTATAATACAATATTACACATAATCTCAAACTGGAAGAATCTCTAAATGCTCACGCACACTTTTTGCACAGGTGGTGCTGTAGATCAGTGGCAAATGGTATGGACCAACACTGGTCCACAGACTGCACCTTGAATAGCACTGCTCTCAAGTGATGAAAATGAACATCTCAAGTGATGAAAATGTGTATACTAGCTACACATAACAACCTGGATGAATCTCACAACCAGACACAAAAGAGCCTATATTTTATGATTTCATTCAAGCAAAGTTCAATGACAACAAAAATCACTAACCTGTGATGTTAGAAACTAGAATTACCCTTGAGGAGCAGGAGATTGTCATTTGAAGAGACCATGAGGGGAATTCTGGAGTTCTTGATCTTGACATTGGATCATTTTTGTGCTGGTTATATGAATGTGTTCATTTGTGAAAATTTATCTAGCTCCCCACTGATGACAGGGTCTCTTTTTTGTTTTACTTATAATTTACATTAAAAATTATTGAACACCAGGGCACCTGGGTGGCTCAGTCAGTTGAGCATCGGACTCTTGGTTTCGGTCTGGTCATGACTCAGGACTGTGGGACTGAGCCCCACGTGGGCTCCACACTGGGTGTGGAACCTACTTGGGATTCTCTTTCTCCCTCTCCCTCTCTTCTCTCTCTCTCCCCCTCTCTAAATTAAATAAATAAATAATTATTGAACATCTATTAAACACATGCACTCTAAACTTCTGAAGGTACTAGATTAGTGGAGAAAGCAATAGAAATGCAAGTATATAAACAAATGTGGCATTACAAATTATGATTTTATGAAAGGAATCATAACAAGATATAGTGATAGAAAATAAGGAAGAAACCTACTTAGATTAGGTGGACAAGGAAGGGGCTTCTCTGATGAAATATTTTAGCTGAGACCTGGGAAATGAAAAGGGATTGGTGATGCCAAGAGTGGAGGAAACAATCCACAGATTTCAGCAGTTGTTTTGGGTAGAGGAATAAAGATAATTTAATGGATTTATGGTAAAAGAGGGCATTGCAGACATAGGTATGACTTGGGAATTGGTGTTATAAAATGTGGGACAGGAAGAAATGGGAGGGAAAGAAGTAGGATTTTGGTTTACAGTTGCAAGTAAAAAGACCAAATTGGATAGTTTTGCAAGAAGCTTATCTACATCAGCACGAGAAGAGAATAATTGTATCTAGAATAAAGGAAAAATCTAGTTTTTGTTTTTGTTTTGAGAGAGAGCGAGCATGAGCAAGTGTGTGTGGTGGGAAGGGGTAGAGAGAGGGGGAGAGAGAGAATCCCAAACAGACTCCTCACTCAGCACAGAACCCGATGCAGAGCTCGGTCTCACGACCCTGAGATCATGACTTGAACCAAACTCAAGAGTCATACACTTAACTGAGCCACCCAGGCACCTCAGGAAAATCTTTTTAAAAGGAAGTGCATTCCCACTTAATTTTCAGACCCAAGCAAAATCTGGTCTTATTAAGAGTTAAGAAATGGAAGGAGTACCTGCGTGGCACAGGCAGTTGGGCGTTGGACTCTTGGTTTCGACTAGGGTTGTGATCGTGGGGTCATGGAATTGGGCCCTACTTCGGGTTCTGGCTGGGTGCGGAGTCTGGGTTTCTCGCTCCCTCTCCTTCTGCCCCTCCCCATTGCTTATACTTGCTCACTCTCTTTCTAAAATAAATGGATAAACCTTTAAAAAATAAAAATAAAAGGAGTTAAATGGAAGAATTTCACATGCGTTTCAGTGTGCTTCATGTAGTTTGGGGTAAGTAAAAGTGTATTTATATATTAGAGAATTTTGTTTCAGGCATTTGAAAATGGATGGCGAACGGGACAGTGTCCATATCAACCCTACCAGTCTTCGCGTCTCTGGCATTCCACTGATTCTCTTCCCCTTTTCTCTCTTCCTTCCCCAACACACGATTATTTCATTATCACTCATTTCAGCTCTATCTTGTTTTCTTTCTCCCTCATCATTCCCCCTCACCTTCAGATGTTCCATTGCAAGTGCTGAGCACTTCCTTGTGTATCATCCTCTTTAATTCTTTTATAACCCTAACAGTCACATATGTGTGGAGATGCGTGTGGGGAAACTTTGGCTCAGAGAAGCTATATGACTTGTCTAGGGTCACAACTTAGACTCCAGACTCCAGGTGCAGTCATTATGCCGCTGAGGCCTTCATCCCTTCCAGATAAACATATAATAGTTTTATGCTTAAAATACTGTCCTCTGCAGTATGAGTAATGAAATTGTGCTCTATTGTTTGTTAGATGTTATAAGACACATCGTCTCACATCTTATACATATGAATATAAGAACATATATGAATGTATGTATATGTGAGTGTACTTCACTATACACAGACTTGAGATAAATATATACTAAAGTTTTTTAATTTTTTTTTAAAGATTTTATTTATTTGACAGAGACACAGCGAGAGCAGGAACACAAGCAGGGGGAGTGGGAGAGAGAGAAGCAGGCTCCCTGCTGAGCAGGGAGCCCAATGCGGGACTCGATCCCAGGACCCTGGGATCATGACCTGAGCCGAAGGCAGACGCTTAACTGACTGAGCCATCCAGGCACCCCAAGTTTTTTGATTTTTTTATAAAGAAATAGTTTTTGAAGTAACTGGTGACTTCCTGAAGTGTAGCATGCGCAGGATCTCTATTATAATTATCACTCATTTTATCTGTCTTCTTAATTACTAAAAATCTGGAAGAAGAAAGAGATGACCTTGATGCAGGTGATTAAAGAAATTATAGTGGCCCAAGAGCTCACTAAAAAAGAGGAGGTAAACTAAGTGATTATTCATAACTTAGCTTATTTTCCTACTGCTTGCCTTTTTCCCTCTGACTCTCTATGTGTCTTTAATACCAATGAGTGAGTAAACATTGGGGAAAATAGGAGATTAAACTCAGATCACTTGTTTTTCATCACTTGCCAGTAATTCTGGGGGAATTAGCAAGATTTGGGGGAGCTAGGAGATTAAGAAGACTCATTAAAATGAAGTTGATAGATTATAGATTTTAATTTATTGTTTTTGAAAATTAAGAAATGAGGCATTAAGGATGTACAACCCACTCTTAAAATATCTGATAGCATTACATCTATTTGAACTTCTATAGCAATTAGTAGACTGGAACAGTATACTATCAGAATCTAGGCTTTCTGGAAATGGCAAAGCATTAGGTGAATTGAATCTTAAGGTAAAACAGAGTGGGAAATGCGTGGATGTTGATCATGCATCTCTTTGCCTGACATGCCCTGAGGGAGTGGCTAGATCAGCACCTTCTGGTTTCAGCCATTTCTGGAGGTGGTTGTAGCTCTTCACATGAGACAGTAACCATTCACTTAGTATTGGGAACTTTTTCTACAGTATTCTGACTTCTATCACATATGGTATAAGAATGACTGTTTAGGGGGGACATGGTCCATAAGATGACTCCCAGGATGTAGTGATATACCAAACTCCTTCATTAAGGCATTCAATCCCCAATTTTTCCTCTTGTCTTTTTTATTTGCTGTAGAGTGATTCTCATCAGTTCCGTGTCATGGCAGCTGTCCTTCGCCATTGTTTACTAATCGTAGGTCCAACTGAAGACAAAACAGAAGAGCTGCACAGGTAGGTAACCTCCGTGTTGGTAGCTTAACGAAGGACATCATCGATTCTTGTTGTTTTTATGCACCTAATTTTAGTTATTAAAAGCACAATAAAGTGAAACTATTACAGTGAATCAGGTAACTGGTGAGAAATAATTACTGATGAGAAATTTTCATTCTATCCCCTTTGACTTTGTTAAATTGAGTCCCAACAAAAGGGAATTTGGCATTTGTTGCATTCAACAATAAAACCCAGAATAACAATAATAATAGCACAGTTCAGCAGTTACTGAGTACTATGTGTGACATGATGCTAAATGCTTTATAAAGATTAACTTATTTTAATCAGCACACTCACCTTATGAGGTGTAGGTACTGCTATTTTTCCCTTTTGATAGGTGATGAAAGTGGGGCATAGAAAAATGAAGCAATTTCTTTGAGATCATACATCCTAGTAGGTGATGACAGGGCTCGGATTTGAACCCTGCTTTTCATTACTACGCTCAAACTAATAGTCTCACTGATTTCACTGTAAGAGTATTTACCAAAAAGTATACTGTAAGCAATATGTATTAATTAAATTTTTAAAACTTATAAAAATTGGTTCACAGTCTCAAGTATTAATATTTAAAAAATAGTTCAAGTGTTGTGACTTGCCTTTTGGAACTCTTGATGGACTACTGCTAAAATGTGTCATTCTGTGAGAACTGAGTTGATGCATTTTTCTAGTTCTCTGTCTATTCTAGATCAGGCTTACAATTACAACACTTCTGACTTTAACATAAGACTGCTTATGGTGCTTTACTCTTTTAAAATACAAGTGGTATTTTCTTTTAAAGATTTTATTTATTTGAGAGAGAGAGCGAGCATGAGCAGGCGGAGGGGTGGTGGGAGAGGGAGAAGAAGACTCCCCACTGAGCAGGGAGCCTGACTCACCGGGCTCAATCCCAGGGTCCCGGGATCATGACCCATGAGCCAACAGGAGATGCTTAACTGAGTGAGCCACCCAGGCACCCCAAATACAAATGGCATTTTAAACAATTCAGATAAATTCAAATCTGCAAACAATTAACTTTGGCATTAACTCTGCTTTACAAATAAAATTGGATTCTTCTTAATAGTAGAAAGCACCTTTTGAGCATTTACAATATTCTGTTTTTCAAAATATGGCTTAAATAAAATTTCATAGAAACACAACCAGAGTGTAAAAATGAAAGATAACCTTAATTGTTATTTTTCAATGAAATCCTTATTATTTTAGTTATGATCAGCAATTTATTATTTGATATTACACAGAGTTTGTTGATAGGTTATCTTTATGTACTCTGTCCTGCAAACATTAAAAAGATTATTTTCTTCACAATGAAAAAGTGTGATTTTTTTTCTTCATCTATAGATCAAAATTTCCTTTAATTTTCTTGAGACTGTGCCTTTAAAAAATAATCAGATTAAGTGCAATAAATCATAGCCTCTAAAAAGACTTAAACATTTTGACTCGCTATAATTTTTTTAATAATCAAGACACTGGAAATACAGATGCTAAAACTTTTTTAAAAATGGATTTATAATAAGCCCAGCAGTAAATTGACGGCTTTTTTTTTTTTTTTTGAAATGAGGTATCATAAGTTAAATGGCATTCATACAAGAATGTGAGGAGATAGTGTTTTGGGAATTGTTAACACTAGTTACAAAAAACATTGCTAAGGATTTCTCTGATAAATTTAATATTTTAACACAGCACCCAGTATTTATCAAAAAAGAATAAGAAGAGAGGTTTTAAGAAACAGATTTTTAAAAAAGTAATCAGATTTCTTTATTTTCCTTCTGATAATATTTGCTTTAAAATATTCTTAAATAAATTTTAAAGATATTTTTCTTTAAATTTGCTTTTATCTTAAAAGTTGCTCTGATAAAATATGTATTAGCTACACTGTAAATAAGAAGGGATATCCCTAGAGCCACAAACAGGATATAGAAGTATATCTCAAAGACTTACCTAGGAGATTGAGGTTGCTGCTGACTTGACAGTTTATCTGGAATGGCCCTGCATGTCCCTTTAATCAGAATTAAAGTGATTAGTACCGTTTGAGTAGTGACTCTAGGCTAAGCCATTTAAATACAGAGAAAACTGCATTAACCTCAAAGGGCTATATTAGGAAACTTACTAGGATTGTAATACCCACTAAATTCTGCATATTTATAGTGACCCTGAAAATCATGTGTGTGTTTAAGGCAAAGTTAAAAAAATCAGAATGTTTTCAAAGTACCATTTTGTTCCATTTTTTTTAAAGTTATTTTCTAAGTTTGTTTTTTTATTTTTGACACTTTAAGGAAAAATGTAATGAAATAAGCAAACCTGGATAGTATATGATTATGCCTTGTCATTAAACTCAAAGAGTTGTAGCAATGAGTAAATGAGAAATTAACAAAGCACTCTGTCCCTGGCACTGAGGAAGCACTCGCCAAGTGCGTGAGCTGCTGTCGCCTCTGCCATCACGCTGCTGCCACCGCCACTTCTGTTACTATTAATACAATAAGCACACTGGCTTTTAGATCCAATACGGAGTTCCAGATCTCTTTTTAAAAGTTGTTTTTGATTTTGATATTTTGTAAGGAACTTATCTCTAAGTATATCCTGTGATCATGTAGAGAAATCTGTTTTCCATTCATCTAAGTTTTTCTCAAGCCACATATGTTCTATGATACATGCATGGCAGGAGTCGACTAGGCTCCTGTGAGTGAGTAGAAACATGGCTTGGCAGCAGCTTTTTCTGATGTGCTCTCTCTGTACGACAGTGTCCTTTTTTTCCCCACCCCCAGAGCAATCAAGAGGACACGACATAGAGATAAAATGAGTTCGCTCGCATGGACTGCTGACCTTAACCTTTATTTCCTCTAATCGGCATCTTAGATAGTTTTTAAAATCTACTTATTTCATTTCCTTTTGTCTATACTTAAAGTAACAAGTAAATTGTTGGTTTGAGCCATCTTTTTTGATACATTAAAGGACATCCTAATTCTGTTCATCTCTGCTATCTTCCTGAAAGTATTTTCAGTCCTCTTGTCCATAATCAGTAAGTTTATGCATAAACAGCCAAAAACAGTTGCATGTAGATGTGGTTGTGGTTTTGTTTTATTTTAGAGAGAAGGGGGGAAATGGAAATGGCCTAAACGCTAGAAAGGTGAGGAGAGGAGAGGGAAGGACCAGATCTGATTTAATTTATTTTAGCCTCTCAATCTACTTTCTTTCACTTTGCACCTTGGCATCTACAGAATGCTTTCTTTTTTTTTCCGCACTCAAGAGAGCCCGTGTGTCTTTAAAAAGTACTTACTTCCTTGCCTTTTTTGTTGTTTCTTTGCTTAGACTAATGTATTTTATCTCATATACTGAAGGAGACAATTTAGTACCTAATGATACCTCATTACAATCCTAGGCAATGTCTTTTTTTCCAGCTTTATTGAGATACAGTGGACATATAACATTGTTTCAGTTTAAGGTGTACAATTTGATAGATTTACATATTGCAAAATGATTACTACCACAGCACGTCTTAGACATGGCCAACTTTTAATTAATGTTTGAAAATTGAGGGGAGAGGAGATTGGGGGAATGGGTAAAACAGGTGAAGGGGATTAAGAGGTACAAACTTGCAGTTATAAAATAAATAAGTCACAGGGATGAAAAGTACAACATAGGGAATAAAGTCAATAATATTGTAATAATGTTTAGTGACAGGTGGTAACTACACTTAAGGTGGTGAACACTGAGTTTGAGTAATGTATAGAATTGTCGAATCACTATGTTGTACACCTGAAATTAATATAACATTGTATGTCAACTATACTTCAATTAAAAAAAATTTTTTTTGTAGAAGTTTGAAAATTAGATGATTTCATTTTGGCTTCCACTTATTAACTGAGCACTTAACTCTATGTTAGGCACTATGTGGAGCTCAAGAACAACAAAGATGAATACAGTGTAATCTGTGTTCTCCAGGGCTCACCAGCTAGGGGGTAAAACAGACATGTAAGTAAATAAGTGCAGTTATGTTGATGAGGGCTGTGTAAGACACAGACAAGCTTATGTAGGTATATAGAAAACAAGAGAGTTTACTTTGGAGAGATCGGAGAAGGGGGGTCTTATTTTATTTTTTTGTTACCATTAAAGCTCCTAGCTCTTTAACCTGCTTCTTACTGTGAATAACAGTTATCTAGGTGAAGAGGTATTTTTTGAACTATCACTGAGCACCATGCTAGGTGCTTGAAGGGCTCCACGGTGCATACTCTGGAGGAACATAAAGTCTAAATGAGGAGACAAGACATAAATATTATGAAAAGTTAAAAAATAATTCAAGGCCATAATCGAAGAGTTGTCACAAGATAGTTTTTGAGTAGTTTCCCAGTGAATTAATTGTCCAAATAATAACTGCTAATAGAATTTAAAGGACTAGCTCACTGTGGTCTAACATGAGGAGGAAAGTCTTCCTTACTCATACTGTACTTGTTCTCCATCCTCATCCAGACCTCTGGTCTCCTGGTGATAGCTGTTTCTCCTACCTATGAGCCCCCTATGGGTTTACTTTCTTCCCTCTCTATTCTAAGGCATTGGTTCATCATTTCAACCTAATCTGTATGCCCTCATTGTCCATGTCCTGCCAGTCTTGAAACACCCAACCCCAGATCTGTCAGGCCACCTTCTTTCTCCACTTCTGCAGGCGGCTCAGTCCTGTGGGACAGTTTTACCTAACCCAACAGTTTGGTCCATCCTCTCCCCTGCATGCAGAGTTGTTTCTCAAAAAGCAGATCTCTGCTTAGAATCCTCTATGGCTCCCCTCTGTCTTTATGTTAAAGAGCAAGCTTGTATTGTCGTTTTGCATTTATTAATAATCCGCAGCCTTATCGGGGAAATCTATGTTTCCCTGGCTTCTACACCTTCTTTTTTGCCAGAATAACTCTGGTTTAAGGTCATCAGTAACCCATCTGGCTATAACCTACATCTTATCATGGCAGTCCCCTTTATAATATCCTGACCGCACTCCACACAGACATACATGTACTTTTCTGCTCTCATTGCCTACTAAGGCCCCTCCTTTAGAGGCCTTGTCCTTTGCTTTACACTGTATACTTAGCACCTAGCACAAGGCATAGTAAATATTTGTTGTGAATGAAGTGAGGTTTAAGCTAGTCTTAAAGAATGAGAACATGCTAGGCAGGAGAACACATGGCCAAATACAGAAAAGAGTTTGTGTCTATGGCACATTTAGAGAACAATGACCAGGTTGCTGTGGGTTAAAAAGCTATGCTTTGCTGAGAGCAGCATTCAGGGGTCTTTCCATCCATATCTTATCCAAAGTTTTCTTGACACTTCTCACCTGCAGCTGCTTCAGTCTTCTCTTGACTATCTGGTTCTTCTACTGTTCTCTCTTGAATTTGATCTACTTGGGCTTTGGATCCACTGCTCCACCAGAATGGCTATTATTGAGGTCACTAGTGACTTCCACATTGCTAAACCCAGTGGACATTTTTCACTTGTCATCTTACTTGATCTGTCCACATCATTTGACAACGTGATCACTCCATTTTTGCGTATATACTTTCTTCCAAGATACCATTGCATCTTGGTTTTCCTCCCACCTCACTAGTTGTAATTTCTTCCTCAATTCCTCAGCCTCTAAACAATAGAGTGCCCCAGGTTCAGCCCTCTTAGTTTTTCAGTCCACACTCATTCCCTCACTGATCTAGTCCAACCCTTTATCTTCAGACACCATCCACATGCTAACAACTCTTCAGTTTCTATCTTTAATCCAGATCTCCCCGCCCTGAACTTCAGACTCTTGCAGCTAACTTCCTATTAACATCTCCCCTTGGAAGTCTAATAGATATCCCCAACTTAACATATCCAAAATTAAACTCTGAATCTTCCCCTAAAAACTGCTTCTCTGGTAGTGTTTCGCATTTCAGTTTATGGCAACTCCAGCTTTCCACTTGCTAAGGCTAGAACTTGGATTCTCACGCTTCACAAGCCTGTCAGGAAATGTCTTTCAAAATATATCCAGATGTAACCACTTCACTGTTATCATCATGTTCAATCACCTGAATTATTATAGTGACATCCTGATTCTTCTCACCTTTGATGTCCTACCATCTGTTCTCAATGCAGTAGTCAGAGTGACCCTTTTAAGGTAAATAAGAGTATATCACCATGCAAGAGCCTACAGTGGCTCCCACTTCACTGAGAATAAAATTAAATTATAACAGCCTCCAATACCAATCTGGCCCCCTATACCTATCTGATCTCCTGTCCTACTCCTTTTCCTGTATATGGTGGTTCAGCAACACCAACTTCTTTACAGTTCCTCAGTTATGCCACTTTTTCTATCTTGGAGCTTTTGCTCTTGCTTTTCTTTCTGAAATGTTCTTTTCCCACATAGTCCACATGGCTCATTCCCTCACTTCATTTCAGTCTTTGCTTAAATGGCACCATTTTAGTGAGGACTACCCTATCCAAAATTATAACCCACCTGTTCTATCTTACCTTCCTGGGTTTCTCCGCCAGGCCACTTACCACCTTCTTTCATGCTATTCGGTCATCTTACTTGTTTTGTATACTTTTCATTGACTGTCCTCCCCATGCTGGAAAATAAGCTCCATAAAGTCAGGGATTTGTCTCTTTTCTTCATAAAACAGTGCCTGACACAAGTAATAAATAATTACTGAATTGAGCTAAAGTTAGGAATTTACATCTTTTGGAGAAAGTCTTTTGGAGATCTTAAGGTTCATTTAAGTAAATTCTCTAGCCATAAAGAAAAGATATGTGAGTCCCAAATATAAAGAAGATATATTTGAACCAGGAAGATTTATTAATGGCTCTAGGTCTACAGGTACCATTCTCATGCTCCTCATTGTCATTTGGTATTAAATTATGTTTAGTCCAGGACTGATACAGGACCGGATTTTAGATTGCCTCCCCTCTCCCACAACTAACAAGGCTTTAATCAGGGCGTTAAGGAGTTCTAAATAGGCATTGCTTTTGCATCTGCATATCAGGAGGGGGCTGGGAGCCGGAGTGGGAGGATGTCATGTCCCAGTGATTAATGATCTCTAGGAAGCTGAAGAGGGGAGAGTAATATACACAGTATTCCTACCCCCTGGAGTAGGAATGCAAACACCATTGTGCGGATCTGTGCATAGTCACTGACTTCCTGGTAGCTGGAGAATTTCATACACTCTTCTGCCACAAATAAAACTGTCAGAGAAGTGACAGAGCTCAAAAAGCGGGCCTTCCTTACTTAAAAAGAATAGCTCAAACACAGTGAGCCAGAAAATTAATTTTGTAGTTGTTTGGAAACCCAGTTGTTTAATAAGAAACGAGAAAATGGGAACTTTCCGTGAAAAGCCTAAAACCTCCAAATATTTGTTGAATCAAACTCTGCATTTGGTTTCTTAAATTTACCGGATTCCTGGAAACTGCTTATTTTAAATGAATTTAAAGGGAAACATTCCTTTGTAATGAAATACATTGTCTTAAACTTTTCAGTGTGGTCTCTATGGTAGATTTAGAGAATCATACTATCAATGGACTCCAGTGCCTATTGCCCTGTGGGTTGAAAAAAAAATCCTAACATTTCAAAATGGTTTATACAGTTTTAGAAAGTAATTCTATGGTAGAGTTCTTTTGTTTGTTTTCACCCCCAGTGAATCTGTGATATTTAACAACAGTGTCCAAATGCTTAAGTCAGAAGCGAAACATTTTTAAGTCTAGGTAAAGAACTACAGATGTTTGCAAATATTTTTAAAAGAAAGTTTGTGGGAAAAGCATTGTATTTCAACCAATTGTGATTTTTTACAAATAACCAAAATTAGGGCCATTGTTTAACAGTAGCAGGTAGTAATCACAGCAGCAGCAACAGATTTTTCGTGGGGACCACCAAATAATTTGTATTTTACCAGGAATCATTCATTCATAGGATTTGTTATTTTTGTTCGTGGCTCAGAGTTTTTTGATACCCTTTACTACTCATTGTTCTGCATTGTCTAATTTTTAAACTTTGATCTCATGAATATTTTTTTCCATAATATAAAAAGAAAGGAAGAAAATACTCATTCTTGGAGAAATGAGAGCTACACTTCAGATTGAAAGAAAAAAATAAATGTGTATTTTATTTTTGTTGTTTACTTTTATTTTTGAGGGTGTCACTATAATCTAAATTAAAAGGAACTACTATGGTCTAAATTAAGACACAATCAGATAGATTAAGCCCTGAGTTTGGTTTCCAAGTGGTTAGACTTTTTGATTGCATTTGCAAGTTTATTTTTAGTCAGGATGTGGTTATTTTTAGATCTGCTTCTCTGTCACTAGGAAATGTAATGCCTGTCTTTCCATTGTTGTTTATCAGGAAGTTCTGAGGCACAGGCTTAGAAGATCCAGTTAGCAGAGAATACCACCTCCTTTTAGATGAAAGAATGTGAAATAATGCCTGAAGGAAAATCTGTTAATTGAGAACATGTCTAATTTTTAAATTATTAGCGTCACTTTAATCTCTTACACACTGAGCAACAGAACAAGATTTTTAGGGAATACCGGATACACAAGGTTTGGGTTCCCCCTACTGGTGTGCGTCCCAGGTGCATGTGTTCATTAATAAGGTAGCAGAAAGGCCTAGGGTATAAAGATTTGAAATGGCTCTGTTGGCCTCTTTTGAAGAGACCTGGTGATGAGAAAAGAAGAAAAAGCACCACTACCCATTTTCTGCTAATGTCTTTTTTAAAATGGGATGATCTAAAAATTGTATTTTTTATACGTAGAAAGAACAAAACTTAATCCTATAATATTTGGGTTTTAATGTTGTTGCCTCTGTGATAAGCTGCTTATATACAGCTTCTAAGATGCTTTATGTTGTAATCTAAGGAATAATAAAACACCAGTAGCTCCACAAAAGGATTTAAAACCCCAAGGAAAAAATATAAGCCTAGCGTTGTATCATAATAAAATTAAAGAGCTGGTGTTAAAGCACACTAATTCCTATTTTAGCATTTCAGAAAGTGACATGACATCATGTGATTGTGTGTGTCCATTTAACATCTGTTCTTTCTAATTTGTCATATGTGTATTTAAAACAGTTCCCTTTATTTTCTGTCTCTTAGTCAGTAAATGCCAAGTAATATTAAAGGCTTGTTTTGAAAAAGAAAAATTTTAATTGACTCATAGAAGTCATTTCTGAACTTCTTATTATGTTTGCATTTTAAAGGACTATTCAATGAAATCAAAATATTGTATTTTTAAATTGCTTTTCAGCAATGCAGTCAACCTTTTAAGCAATGTTCCGGTCTCTTGTTTGGATGTTCTCATTTGTCCATTAACCCATGAAGAAACGGCCCAAGAGGCAACGACACTAGATGAACTGCCCAGTGATAAAACAGCTGAGAAAGAAACTGTTTTGAAAAACAATACCATGGTATACAATGGTATGAATATGGAAGCCATTCATGTTTTACTCAATTTTATGGAGAAGAGAATAGACAAGGTAAGGCTGATAAAATGGAGGCCTTGGGAAAATATTTCTAAAGAATGTAAATGTGCCATATATGCAGACATCACAGGACATGATTTTTAAATTTAAACTTTTTTTTTAATAGCTGACATTTTGTGTGATTGTACTCTGGAAATCATTTTATTACAGTATATGATTAATTGCAAAAAACCAAGTGAATTTATTTGTTTAAAGCCAAAAATTTTGTTGATGCAAGACCAAAATTGTGACTAGGGCCTGAAAGCAAAGGAAAAATTACTTTCCATGTAAGTATTTTGTAAGACCTAGAAGTAAAAATTATCCCCCCCAAAAAACTTGATGATAAATACTTTACATAGTAACTAAAAGCTATCTTTAAAAAAAATCATCAACTTTTCATTTGTTGTGAGCTGCTTATTTTCTCTTGTCTGTCACTTACTTTGTCAGGTTAACTATATTAAAAGGCAGCAAGGTAGTGTGGGTGGGTCATCAAAACCTTTGCCTCATTTAAGCCCATTGGCTGAGCCAGTGAGGACCCCACGAAATGTAGGAAAATCCAAGGAGGATAAAAACGGACATTAATAAACATGAAGATAACTGATGGCATGGAAACATTGTTAGAAAAATAATTTCTTAAATAGTTCGTAAAGCTTTGGTAACATAAAATGTCTCTCCCTCAAAAAAGGAGTATTAACGTGCTCAGTTATACAGAGGAAAGTAATACTGTTAGAACCTAATACAGTATGTGTGGTTTTCTTTATAGGGAAGCAGCTATAGAGAGGGTCTCACTCCAGTTCTCAGCTTGTTAACAGAATGTTCCCGAGCCCATCGAAACATCAGAAAATTTCTCAAAGATCAGGTAACTGCTTAATGCAAATTACTCCTCATAGTTAATCTTCTTATATGTGGTTTTTAAAAACAATTAATGAGTTGCATTCTTTCATAATGGTTTTCTTTCATAAAATCAGAAACTCAGAAAAGTTAGTTTTAATCTTTGAAATCTTCCTAATCCAGAAAAAAGTATTTTTTCTGAGTCATTCATTCATTTATTCAACAAATAGTTGAGATCTACTTTGTGTTGTCTTCTAAGCACCGAAAGACAGATGATGTCTTTGCCTTGTGGAGTTTACCTTACAGTGGGGGAACAAAAAGGAAATGAATACATTTATGTTATAATTTCATGTAATGATATGTTCTAAAGAAAGACAGCAGGAGAAGGGGAGACTTAGGGGAATGGGGAGGGCCTCTCTGAGAAAGTGACATTTGAGCAGAAATTTGGATAAGTAAGAAAAGGCTCTCAGAAAATCTGGAAGAGGAATGTAAAGAGAACAAATTCAAAGTCCCTGAGATGAGAGGATGCTTTGGCATGCTTATGGAAAAGCAAGGAGGCTAGACCAAGTGGGCAAGGAGTAAAAAAAAGTAAGCAAGAACCAGATGGCCTAAGGTTGTATAGGACTTGTGATTCTCTTCTAAGTGAGTTGGGAAAGCACTGGACCATTTTGAGAAAGGGGAGTTAAATGAAAGGGATGTCATTTATATTTTAAAATACTCTGGCTACTATATGTAGGATAGACGAGGAGAATGAGAGTAGATGCAAGGAGGCCAGTTGAAAAGAGAGCTGATGGTGAAGGTTTGGAATAGGATGGGTAGCAGAGCTCATGGTAAGAGTTCTTTCCACCGCTGGTCTTCTGTCCATCTGCCCATATCATATATCCTTTGTCTCCCCTTCTATCATAATGGGTGAATTGTCCCCGCTTTCTTCTGAGGCCAGCCTCTGCACTTGTGCCCTGGATTCCTTTCCTTCTCACCTTCTCAGGAACTTTGCTCCTGCATTTATTTCCTCTCTTCTTACGTTAATCTTTCTTTCTTTTTTTTAATGTACTGGGTCAGTTCTGTCTTCACGCAAACACATCTTCCATCTTAAAAACAAAACAAAACAAAAAAACCTTCCCTCAATTTCACCTCTCAAGCTGCCTCCCTATCACTCTGCTCTTCTTAGTGCAGTGTTCCCCAGAAGAGTTTTCCATACTCACCCTCTCTATTCTTTTTACTCATCTTTTTCTCCTGAACCCACCAAAATTAGGCTTTCATACTTTCCACCCCACTGCAAAGGTGCTCCTCAAAAGTCACCAACCCAATATTGCCAAATCCAATAGTTCTCAAATCTTTTTTTTTAAATGCATTCCCCCAATGCATTTTGATGTAACTGAGTATTCTGTCCTTCTTGAAATACTTTCTTCACTTGGTTTCTAGGACACAATAGGGAACCTCTTTGCAATGTCTAAGCGCCCCGAGACAATATTGTCTTTGTCTCCACTCCCACTACCCTGGTGATCTCATTCAGCAGTCATGGTTTTGAAAATTATCTATATGCTGATGACTCCCAAATTTATATCTCTAGCCCTGACCTGTCCCCTCAGCTCCAGACTGACATAACAAGCTGCCTACTCATCTCCCCTTGGATGTATAGTAGAGGTCTTAAGTTTAATATATCCCAAACCAAGTTCTTGATTTCCCATCCCTTCACCCTGTTTCTTTCCTTCTTTCCACATTTCCCTGTACATGGTACCACCATTCACCCCACTGCTTTTTTTTTGCCATGTAGAATTTCCCTTGTTAAATGAACCAGCTTCATTTCTCCCTTTATGTTTATGGTCAAGATTTAGTAAGCACCTTATTACATGTGAAGCACATTAGTAGATACTGATGCTAAGGAGATATTAGAAAGTAGAGACTCTTTCTTTGAGGAATTTACAGTCCATTGGAAGAAGAGAGTAGTACCATGAAAGCATGAATAATCATTTAAATCAAATAAAATAGTTAATGAATTAAGGTCATTTCCAATTTGATTATTTTAAGACATTGTACTGTGACTAGGAGTACTTGGTAAAGAATAATAAATGAAAAATATTTTAAGTTTTCTATATTTTAGCTTTGTTTCATAAGAGATCCATGTTCAACTGAACTGTTTAGATTTTGCTATCTCTGACCAAGATAGTAAAAGAAAAACCTGTTTGTTAAACAACTTTATATGAAGGCCTTGGGCCACATATTATGTGGACACAGAGATTATGAGACCCACTTTCTGTCCTCAAAGAAGCACTACAGTATAGAGATAAAACATGACAAGTAAAGATGACTAAGATAAAAGACACACAAAAAAATCAACTTTCCTTCTGAGAAAGATGCAGTCTAAACTATGATGATTAAGAAAGGCAGAATGTAAAGTAAAAGATGATTAATTTTGGTAATAGTATAAATGGAATGATGGCTAATTAATTATTATGCCCTGTAGTTAATACCTGATTAAATCCAACTTATACATACCCAAAGGAAATTGGTCTTAAGTATTTAGGCGGGTAGAAATAGAACAGATGGTAGAAATTACTGACCCAGGTTAGGTTCGTCTGGAAAGCCTTACAAAAGAGACGAGATTCTGTGGATTTGAAAGAGGAAATGAACAAGATTTGTCAAAGAAAAGAAAGAAGATTGTTGGAGGGGAATATTTGGGCGGAAATAGAATGAGTCCATACAAATGCAGTTTGTTTGGGAGTGATATATAAGAATAAAAGCAACAAACTTCTATTTTTAAAAACTTGTTTTTAAGAAATCCAAAACATAGCTAACAAAATTTTGGGGTGATAACTTTTGTTAATAGATTCTTCAGTCTGGAACAATAGGCACATGCTACATGAAATCACTTGTTAGATATCTCATTCTTCAATACATTCAGTATATAGAGACCATATAAAACTCAGTATGGTTGGCTGAATCAAATAATAAGGATTTACTATGCAATGACTTTGTGCCTTTAGAGCATAGAAATCCTGGTGCTCTACCCTATCAGAAATATTGAAATATGGCTTCTGTGTAAATACTTTGGGTAGATGATTCAATTTTCTGAGATTTAGTTGCCATTTGTGTTCACAGCACCTCCAATACCTCCTGATACATGGTAGGCACTCAGTATAGAAAGAGAGAGAAGAAAGAAGTCATTTGAATGGACTAAATAAAATGATATACACATGAAGGGCCTGGTACAGTAAATTATTTGACTTCGTTTTTATCCTCATTTCCTCTCATAGTGCCTAGCTTATAGAAGGCACTTTTAAAAAGATATTTGAGGGGCGCCTGGCTGGCTCAGTCAGTAGAGCATACAACTCTTGATTTCAGGGTTGTCAGTTCAAGCCCCACATTGTGTGTAGAGATTACTTAAAATAAAATCTTTGAAAAAATATTTGAATTAATCCATTCTTCCTTCAATCAACAAATATTTATTAAACACATGTAATATGCCATGCACTGAGAGCAGTAAACAAAACAAAGAAATCCCTGCCCCCGTGGCACTGACTCTTATAGAAGAAGGCCAACAGTAAAGAAATATATACTGTATCAGGTGGTGAGGAGTGCTGTGAGGAAGATTAAAATGGTTGGAGGAGGGTGGTGCACAAAAAAAGAGAGGTCATATAGGGTGGTCAGGAAATGTCTTCCTATAAAGTGACATTTGAACACAGACCTGAAGTAAGGAATGAGCCATGAGAGTTTCTAGACAAAGAGTTTCTGGGCAGAGGGAGCAGCAAATGCACAGACCATGAGACAGGAAAGTGAGGGGTGTGCGTAAGGAGTTCCAGGTAGGTCTGTGCGGCTGTAGCAGTGTAGGCCAGGAGTACAGTAGAAATGAAGTTAGAAAAATAGCAGGAAGCTGGATTATGTGAAACCTAAGGGAGTTGTAAGAACATTGTTTTTCACTGTAAGATGAGAAGCCCTAGGAACTGGAGGACTTGGAGAACAGGAATGACATGATCTGACTTTCAGAGGATCCCTAGCTGCTTTGTAGAGAAGAAATCATTAGAAGGACCAGAATGAAAGCAGAGAACACTGAGAGGTTGTGGTAATAACCAGTTCAGGTGAGACATATCGGTAACTTGGATTTAATAATATTAGAGGGGGTAGTGAGAAGTGGCTGAATTATGGATGTATTTCAGAGGTAGAAACAATATCATTTGCTTGTGGTTAGTTATGGGGTGTGAAAGAGAAAAGGCTATTTCCAAGATGTTTGTACTAAACAGTTGGAAAAATAGACTTACCATTTAGTGAGATAGAAAACTAAGAAGGAACAGCTTTGGTGGGAGCATCAAGAGTTTTGTTTAGGACATGCTAAATTTGAGAGGCCTATAAAAGTCTGGAAGTCAGTAAAGAAATCAAAATAGAAATATAACTCAGGGAGTTCTTAGTATATAGAGACCATATAATGCCATAAAACTGGATAAGATCACCAGTAGATTAAGTGAAAATAGTGAAGAATGTTCCCCAAGAGCTCAACCCTTGAATATTCCAATACTTAGAAAACAAGAGGAGAAAGAGAATTGGCAGAAGATGCTGAGATGAAGCAACCAGTTGAAATAGGAGGAGACCCTGAAGAGGGAGGGGTCTGGGTGGATGAATAGGTGAGTGAGTGAGCAAAAAACCAGACAAACCAAGAAGTGTCCTAAGCCCTCTGCGGATCAGTCGATAAAATAGGGATGATAGTGATGTTACTACCTCCTTTGCAAGGTTACTGTGGAGATTGATTATAGAGAATGTATGTATATCCTCTATTATGGCAACTAGCACCTAGAAAGTATTCAGTAATTAATAGCCATTTTTTTATTATAAAATAAAAGAAGAAAACCTAAGTACAGATTTTTTTTAGTAAATACTGAAAATGCTGCAGGAATTACAAGAAGGGGAAAATCAATAGGAATATAAGTATTAAGGAAGGCCCTGTGGAAGGAGAAACTTGACCCTGACTTTAAAATGGATTTTGATAGAGGCAGGCAAAGGCATTCCAGATACTTTGGTGATTAAAAACTCAAACAAATAGAGTATTTCATGGTGGTACAGTGAAGAGATGTTTCTCTTCAAATGAAATTTCATTACAAGCATGAAATCATTTGAGGATTTTGTTTTGTTTTGTTTTATTTGGAAGCAAACCTATTTAGTTTTTAAAAGCTTGTTCCACTCTTACAAAACTGAGCTCATAGACATTATAAGACTGACCAGTTGCATGGTACCATCCTCACTTACTCTAGTACCCCACGACTGATGATGGTTTTTGCATTTCTGCCATTAGGTTTTACCACCATTGAGGGATGTGACAAATCGACCTGAAGTTGGCTCAACTGTGAGAAATAAGCTGGTGCGCCTCATGACACATGTTGACCTTGGAGTCAAGCAAATTGCTGCTGAATTCCTTTTTGTCCTTTGCAAAGAGAGAGGTAGGTTAAACTCTCTTTGCTCTCTTTTTTATTTTTCAGAGGGAATTTGAAAGATCTTTCTGTTAATAGTGGCCATATCATTCCACTCTTTTCAGAGTTTTCTCCTATCTTCTATTAGAGGGCCTGAGGAGATATTAAAAATTAATAATTTAAAAACATTTTCTATATACTTCTGAATTCATTGAGATGTGCAAACACACTCACATTAAACTTTGCCTTCTGTATCCTTAGCCCACACTTCTTAATCTTGATGAGTCAGGACCTGGAGTCATTATGAAAAATCTACTTAAGTAATTCAGGTGCTACTTTTTTTTTTTTTTTAAGATTTCATTTTTATAAGTAATCTCACTCAGTGTGGGGCTCGAACTCATAACCCTGAGATGAAGAGTCGCACGCTGTACCAGCTGAGCCAGCCAGGTCCCCCAAGGTGCTACTATTTTGATAACCAGACACAGGCCTGGGTTAGTTCCCCTTTTTAATTCCTCTTGGAATTAAAGCTATAGGAGTCTTGGTTTCTTCACGAAGTTATTTTATCAATAAATAATTGTTCAGTGTGAGCTACAGAACATACTATGGAAGTGAGAAAAGGAGGATGGAAAGTGCAAAAAATGCCTAAGATAAACCCCTAACCCTTGAGATAAGGATAAGATAGAGGTAGAGAGAAATTTTAAAATAATTATACTACAGTGTAATAAACACCATTCTGTAAGTATATATAAAGTGATTGTCTTCCGAGATAACATCTAACCATTTCAAATATTTCTTAAAATTATATGGGCAAAGCTCTGCAAAAGCAAGTTCTTCAAACAAGGAACTTCAAGATATCCGGATATTTTTACCTATTTCTTTCTTTAGCTCCTAGTTTTGTAAATGTACTGGTATAAAAATCCCATCTAAGCAGATTTTGTATTCCACTTTTTTAAAGTACCACAGTTTTGTGAGACATAATTTGGAGGTAGAAAACTCACTTCCCTCAAAATCTTAAGTTAGTTTAATTCTTTTTTTTACCCAGCTTTATTGAGACCTAATTGACAAGTGAAGTTGTATATATTTGAAGAAGTGATTAACACAGGTTAATTAAGACACCTACCACCTCACATAGTTACTTTTTGTTTTTGTGTGTGTGTGGTGAGAATGCTTAAGACGTACTCTTAGAGGGCGCCTGGGTGGCTCAGTTGGTTAAGCAACTGCCTTCGGCTCAGGTCATGATCCTGGAGTCCCGGGATTGAGTCCCGCATCGGGCTCCCTGCTCGGCGAGGGGCCTGCTTCTCCCTCTAACCCTCCCCGCTCTCATGTACTCTCTCTCTCGCTCTCATTCTCACTCTCTCAAAATAAATAAATAAATCTTTAAAAAAAAAAAAAAAGACATACTCTTAGAAATTTCAGGTGTACAATACTATCAACTGTAGTCACCATGCTGTACATTTGATCTTCAGAACTTACTATAACTGAAGGCTTACAGCATTTGATCAGCATCTCCTCATTTCCCCTATCCCCAACCACCATTCTACTCTCTGCTTGTAGGAGCTTAATTTTTTTTTTATTTAAGATTCCACATATAAGTGAGATCATACAGTATTTGTCTTTCTCTGGCTTATTCACTTAGCATAATGTTCTCTAGGTTCATCCTTGTTGTCACAAATAGCAGGGTTTCATTCTGTCATGGCTGAAATAAATAAATACACACACACACACATACACATCTCCTTTATCCATTCATCTGTCAGTGGACACTTTGCTTTTTTCCGTATCTTGGCTATTGTGAATAATGCTGCAGTGAACATGGGAGTGTAGATATCTCTTGGGGATAATGATTTTGTTTGCTTCAGATATATACCCAGAAGTGTGATTGCTGGATCATATGGTAGTTGTTTCTAATTTTTTGAGTAGCCACCATACTGCTCTCCATAGTAGCTGCACCAATTTGCATTCCCACCAGTGGTATGTAAGGGTTCCCTTTTTGCCACTTCCTTGCCAACACTTACCATCTCTTACCTTTTTGGTAAAAGCCATCCTAACAGGTGTGAGGTGATCTCTCATTGTAGTTTTTTTTTTTTTTAAGATTTTATTTATTTGACAGAGACACAGCGAGAAAGGGAACACAAGCAGGGGGAGTGGGAGAGGGAGAAACAGGCTTCCCACGGAGCAGGGAGCCTGATGTGGAGCTCGATCCCAGGACCCTGGGATCATGACCCGAACCGAAGGCAGATGCTTAACAACTGAGCCACCCAGGCGCCCCTCTCATTGTAGTTTTGATTTGCATTTTCCTAATGATTAGTGATGTTGAGCACCTTTTCACAAAAATACCTTTTGGACATTTGTATGTTTTTTTGGAAAAATGTCTTTCAGGCTTTTTGTCCATTTTTTAATAGAATTATTTGAGGTCTTTGCTATTGAGTTGTATCCATTGAATTCTTAAACTTTATTTCTGCTTCAGTTCCTCTTATTAAGATGGTATATTAACAACATAATTTGATCAATATAATAATGATGATAATAAACACAACTATTATGTATGTGGGTATCATGTTCCAAACATTCTATGCCATAATCTCATTTAATTCTCGTAAGGACCCTCCAGGGTCATAAATGAGTTAACCTGGCACTTTCAGTAATTTATTCAAGGTCACACGGTTGCTTGAGGACTAAAGCCCAAATTTGAGTCCTCTTTCCATTCTGCCACATTTCCTCTTACAGTAATTTTCTTCAACTGTTCTCACATCTGCTCTTTTAAACAATTTAATTCTTTCATGATTTTGAAAAAAGATTGATGTAGTATCTTGGAATTAAGTGACTGGTATAGTACCTTGCACATGGCAATCTGTAAATACTGGCTGAATTGAATCAGTTTCTCCAAGATCAGAAATGAGCTGTTTTTTTTTTAAATTTTATTTTATTATGTTATGTTAGTCACCATACATTACATCATTAGTTTTTTATATAGTGTTCCATGATTCATTGTTTGCATATAACACCCAGTACTCTGTTCAATACATGCCTTCCTTAATACCCATCACCCAGCTAACCTATCCCCCTACCCTCCTCCCCTCTAAATCCCTCAGTTTGTTTCTCAGAGTCCATAGTCTCTCATGGTTCATCTCCCCCTCCGATTTCCCCCCCTTCATTTTTCCCTTCCTGCTATTTTCTTTTTTTTTTTTTTTAAACATATAATGTATTATTTGTTTCAGAGGTACAGGTCTGTGATTCATCAGTCTTACACAATTCACAGCGCTCACCATAGCACATACCCTCCCCAATGTCTATCACCCAGCCACCCCATCCCTCCCACCCCCCCAACACTCCAGCAACCCTCAGTTTGTTTCCTGAGATTAAGAATTCCTCATATCAGTGAGATCATATGATATTTGTCTTTCTCTGATTGACTTATTTTGCTTAGCAAATACCCTCTAGTTCCATCCACGTCGTTGCAAATGGCAAGATTTCGTGGCTTTTTTTTGATGGCTGCATAATATTCCATTGTGTGTGTGTGTGTGTGTGTGTGTGTGTATACATACACACCACATCTTCTTTATCCATTCATCTGTTGATGGACATCTTGGCTCTTTCCATAGTTTGACTATTGTGGACATTGCTATAAACATTGGGGTGCACGTACCCCTTCAGATCCCTACATTTGTATCTTTGGGATAAATACCCAGTAGTGCAATTGCTGGATCGTATGGTAGCTCTATTTTCAACTGTTTGAGGAACCTCCATACTGTTTTCCAGAGGGGTTGCACCAGCTTGCATTCCCACCAACAGTGTAGGAGGGTTCCCCTTTCTCCGCATCCCCGCCAACATCTGTTGTTTCCTGACTTGTTAATTTTAGCCATTCTGACTGGTGTGAGGTGGTTTCTCATTGAGGTTTTGATTTGGATTTCCCTGACACCAAGCGATGTTGAGCACTTTTTCATGTGTGTGTTGGCCATTGGATGTCTTCTTTGGAAAAATGTCTGTTCATGTCTTCTGCCTGAAATAAGCTATTTTTTAAAGTAAAGTATAATTATGTATGTATACATAAATCTGAATCACACATCTGTATCTATCAGTCAAAAGGGGTTTATCAAAATATACACTAACATCTTATCCTTTGTTACCTCTGAGTAGTAGAATGGTAACTATTTTTTAGTTCTGTGTATTTTATAATTTTTCTACAATGAGCATGCATTTCTTGTTTACTTTTAAATTTTTTTTAAAGAGGAAAACTAAAGTTTATTTCTTCTATAATTACATATCTAAATACATAAATTACATATCTAAATATAATCACCTTACATTTAATGTGTTAGTGATAGCAAATATGGTATATGCATTTATAAATGAATTTGTTCATTGTTTTTCATTTGAAAGGATTAGCTTTGTTCTCTCTTAGTCTGTTTGAAGTTTTATAGTCCTTTGAGCCCAAAGCCAACCCATATTAGCAAAAGTGTATCATTTTCATTTTATCTTTAACAATTCTATATATACTCATCCACTTTTCCTTCCAATTTGATTTTAAGTTTAGTAGATATATTCTTCTGAAATAAAAATTTACCCATTCAATAAAAAACTTTTGAGCTAGAGAATACAGAGGTATAAAGATAAACAAGGTCTCTGCTCTCCTATTACTTACTTTCTTATCAAGGGTTACAAACTTACATGCCTACAGGTGCCAGGCTGGTAATAAAAATGGACTGGACATAAGATGATAAGTGAAAACTGACACTTAACTCATTGCTGGGAAGGCGGTGGGTTGGGATTAGGGGAACAGGGGGATGATGCAGGATTAGAGAGAGGACATTGCTGCTACTTAGTTCCAACTGATGGTTGCCATGAAGGAACATATGACCAATGTTACCAAATCTTGCAGATTTTTCAAGAGAAACCAGGACTCTGAATTTTTACCTAAAATCTCCCAGTTTTTAAATGCTGTCAACTAATTCTAATTTAAAACCATCTGGCCAAAAAAAAAGTTTGTAGTCTACATTCAACTTGTAAATCATCAGATTTTGGAGTTAGGG